TCTGCCGGTGGAAGCTCTCCAGCTGTCCATCGTCTTCTGACCGCTCGGCTCTGTCTCCTCTCAGGTGTCTCTGGTGAAGATGAGGCCCCACATTTCCTCCTGCTCCAAAGTGCAAGAGCAGATAGCCAACTGTCCCAAGTTCGTCCCTGTGGTGCCCACCTCCCAGCCCATACCCAGGTAGCCCGGTCTTTCTGTGTCAGCAGTGCTAAAGTGGCTACAGGACTGACCGTTATCCTTTGTCTTTGTGCTTGAATCTCCTCTGAAATGCAGCAATATCCCAAATCGCTCGACGTTTGTGTGTCCGTTCTGCGGGGCCCGGAACCTGGACCAGCAGGAACTGGTGAAGCACTGTATGGAAAACCACCGAAATGATCCCAACAAAGTGGTGAGAATAGTCAGAGCCACAAATCTCTGCATCACAACGCATACGATACTATAAACATTAGCTAAATAAACTCTTAAAATGTTCATAAAAACGAAAACCGTCTGGCAGGAGAAGCAGGAACTGGTGGTTGTGGTCCTGATGGAAGCTGTGTGCTTGCTCTTTTAGGTGTGTCCGGTTTGCTCCGCCATGCCATGGGGAGACCCCACCTACAAGAGCTCGAACTTTCTCCAGCATCTTCTCCACAGACATAAGTTTTCCTATGATACCTTTGTTGTAAGTGTCCGGTGGTTTTTCTTCTCTTTGCCTTTAGATAGAAACACTGAGCCTGAGTGAGTTCAGCTGCTTTCTTTTATCTGTTGTCAGGACTACAGCATTGACGAGGAGGCCGCACTCCAAGCAGCTCTTGCACTGTCACTGGCCGAAAACTGAAAACTGACACCGGCCACCCCCATTCCCCTCCTGCCGTTCTTCCAGGGGGTCAGAGGGGAACCGTCCACCCCACCTTCTGACCCTCAAAGCCCACACGGGACTCCTTTTCTCCCTCTAGTGTAGCAGCTTCGTGGCGTTAGGAAGCAGAAGCGGATCTCCATCCTGAGCTGAGGAGCGTGGAAAGGAACTGATAAAGACGATGTCAAGCTACGGATCACTGACCAGCCCCTTGACTTTGCAGTTTCAGTTTGGAAGCATCTCGTTAGTCCATCCGAAGCCCGCCATGTGGACCACCCAACACTCTGGTAGTCACTGTGAGAAGCCGGGTTCTTGTTTCCTCTTGTGTAGAAATGAGAACACCATACCACCGAAACGGTTAGCTGAAATCCCTTTGATTCAGGGTTCCCCGCCTGTTCCTCCAACCCGAAAATCTGCATTTTATGTGCTGCCCTACAAATACAGTTTGCATTAATCCATAAAAGGATCTAGAATGAAGGTTTAGGAGGCACATGATGACCACTCACCCCCCTCCAAATACACAGAAATCTGTTAATACAGTGCTGCACTGGAAGAAGAACAGACCACATTATTCACAGTGTTTACGTCCTTCCTTAAAGTTGTATTCGAAATGGAAAAGCGGGATGTTAATCTCAATCAATGGCACTATTTGCTAAAGTAAATC